GGGGGGGGGGGGGGGGGGGGGATGACTCGCTAGCGTACCCGTTTCCAGGGCAGCATCATCCGTGTCCTCCACCACAATCACAGCCAGCTCTCGAGGGGGACTCTCCTCTCGGTGGGAGGAAGAACACTTGCCTTGGATCTTCGCCTCTCTCTTCCTCTTCCTCCCTGCTGTGAAGCGATTGAGCAGGAGATCGCCGTCCATCTCTTCTCTTGGATCTTGTAATTCAACTGGAAGCGGGAAAAAGGTTAGCTTCGAAAGGGATAAAATAAAACATTTTGACAAAGAGAAGGTCAGTTACCAAAGGGACCACAGTCAAGACCTTCCTCAGGAATGTCCCTCAGCTGGTCAGGCTGGTACCCCCCGGGAATGTCCCTCAGCAGGTCAGGTTGATGACGAAGCTCATTCTGGGCGAACTCAAACCCCAACCCGGAAAGGGTTTCCTCTGTCACCACCTCTTTGATGTTCATGACTCCCTTGTTGCAGAGTTGGTGAGTGATGGACAAAAGGGTGGCATCAGGCGGGGGCATGGGACGCGATGGAAAGAAGGGAACCCAGAACCAGTGAAAGGAGATTCGGGCCCCGTCGAAACAAAAACAAAGAAAGGCTTCCAGTCTTTGGTTGACCCCTTTTTGTCACTGGCGAAGAGTTTACTGGACCTCTGGGAAAGGCTGGCATAGGACGCCCAATCCTTATGGCCCTTGGTCAGCTTGAAGGTAAACAAGAAATGGTCCAAGGTTGGCTTCACCCCTACATCCTTGCACCGAACCAGATAACCGGCAATGTACCGGTGAGAGTTGGGGACCAGCTGGCAAGGAAGGAGGTCCACTATGTTGAGGAATTCGATCAGCAACGAATGGAGTGGGAAGCGCAGCCCCTTCTTTAAAGACGCCAGGTGGACCGTGAAAAACCCTGAAGGAACGTCTAGGGCGGTTTGGGTGCTGGTAGGTCTCAGGACCTCGAGGGAAGACCCAACCATATCAATAGCATCGGCGAACCCCCGATCAGTAATTTCGCAATGTCACAGCGTCATGATGTTTTCGTCCAATCTAACCCTTGAGCCCTCATCTACCGGGGTTTTGGAAGGGAATTGCTTCCTCAATCGACGCCGTTTTTGGCCAGGCACGGCCGACGGTGACGGCTGGGACAATTGAGTGTGGCCGGGGTTACAACTAAAGGCCCATTGATCGGCTTGGCAAGAATTGGACGATGGGGGTAGCCGAATCGGAGTCTGAAACAATCATGGCGGCGAGAAAAGGAATTGACCTGGAAAGGGAGAAAACCGGGTCGGGTAGCAGCGTAATCACAGACGAGTGACGATAGAGAAGGAGGAAGAAAGAGATGGCGTCCAGCGGCGGTTTTTAACTGACAGTGGGAAGGCGAAACAGTAGGTCATGATTACCTATTCGTGGAGATCGTGCCCAAACGTCACGCAGAACCCAAGGAATGGCCCGGATCCACGCTGGAGCACCCACGTGGACTTCGTAAACTCCCCATACCTCAACACAGCCTAGTCGAGGAATGAGGAGTTGGGGGGCTTGTGATGGGTCGATATCCAATGGGCGGCCCAAATGAGCCATTTAAGTAATCTCGGGTCAAACACTTGGGGAACACTTAGGCTTGGGCCGGCCCATGAGGCTAAGCCCGGTTAGCCCCAGCCCAAGGGCAGCTGGCATAGTTAATCCGGAGAAGAAGGCGGAGCAGAATGGCGGTTACGGAGCCGGAAAAAGAGGATCGCGCCATTGACGGGATAAAACTCCTTTGATCATGTATTACCTTAATTATTCAGAACTCATGTATAAATAGAGGGGACCCGAAAAGGGGAGAATTCAAGATAGATCAAGCTAAATAATACATACTCAATTCTCGAATTCTCGTTCTTAATTTTTGTTCTTGCGATCCGTTCTCTGAATCGGATTATTCGGTGGATTTATTGTCCATCAGGTAATGATGTAGATTGATGAGGGAAAAGAATAGGCTTAGAAAGTGGAAAGAAACTGGCCTGACTCAAATGTCAGCTGACTCCGCCGCCGGCCTACTTTTCCATCTTTTTACTCAGAACCCACCGCACCCACATGCTTTATTAGACGGAAGCGAGCCCCCCACCCACTTCTCCAAACCCTCAACCGACCTCCCACTTTCTTTCTCCCATCCTCAATTCCAAAACCAAATCAGTATTCCGCGCAATTCAAAGCCAACCCATCGTCAAAGAAGAAGAGAAGAGATATGGGCGGGTGGGTTATAGAGAGCACAGATGAAGGCGGGATTGCCAGAAAGCTATGGAAGAAATTCAAGGACGAAACGGTCTTTGCTTTGTATACCCCGTTTGTGGTTGGACTGGGCTCTTCCACTCTGGACTCTCGAACTTTTCTTCAATGCGTCTCTCAAGATGTCTACTTTCTTCAAGCCTTCTCCAAGGCGTAAGAATCTAACTGTATTCCTTTCTCTGGTTTAATTCTTCGATTGCGTGTTGGGATTGACATGTGGTTTAGGTTTGGATGTGAATGAAGGTATGAATTTGCAGAGGAGTATGCGGATGACGACGAAGATAAGGAAGCTATTGGCATGCTTAGAAAGCGCGTGCTGAGGAGGCTCGGCGATCAACACAATCTTGTTCGAGTGAGTTCGCCTTATACTTGTTGTTTTCTGCTCTGCACTTGTTTATATTCCACTTTGAATTTCATTGAAATTTCTGAAGTAGTTGAAATCATTGATGGAGTTGGTGATTGAGAATCTATTCTTTTTGACGAGATTAAGAAAAATAATGCCCCGTTTGTGAAAACAGAGGTGAAAATGATCACTGGCTTTAACTACTTCACCTAAAAAGAGTACTTAAAATCATAAGGGCTTTTCGTTTGAGCTATTTGTAGCTGTTTTGTGACAATTGTTGAGAAATTTTGAATTTGGGCGTTCATTTGAGCAGTTGAGGTTTTGATGCCAAATTACATATAATGAAATTTACGTTTTTTAGTGTAAAATACGTGGGTCAGAAAAAGAAGGTATTTTTTTTAAAGTTGGAAATATTTGTGCAACAAAAGCAAGTTCATCAAAGTCCCACAAAAGTAGGGTATTTTTGTGAACAAAAAACCTGTATATTAACTGCTTCAGTGATAGAAACAGCTCCAAAATTGAGTTGCCGAGGTAAGTTTTGACTGTTCTGCCGCAAATGGATGTCTATCGTCTCTACTGAATATGGCTCTTTACTTTTTAAATATTAACCAATTTAGCAAGCACAATGAAATAAGGGTTTGGTTGAAACTCCATTGCCCTACTTTCCCCTCCAGTTATAACCAACTCAGCGGCAAACAAATTATTGTTCTCTAAAAAATCTATGTGCCTACTTTTTCACTATTATTAACTAATTTAGTTGGCAAAGCCAATAAGTTAGTGTGATTAAAAAAAAGTCTGGCTAGTAATGCTGATAAGCTGAAAAAAGTAGCTACCAAACAGCTACGTAGTAGCAAAGGGTTTTAAAATGAAATATGAATTGCAAAGAAAATAAAAACAAAATATGAGTTTGGGGATGATGAAGACATTCCCTTCTTCCCTCTTTAATGCTGCTACAATTAATGGGCGCAGGATTGGGGGTTTGAGCTTCCAAAAGATAGCACTTGTGTTACTGCAACAGTCAAATACACAGACTTTTTGATGGCAACAGCCGTCGGAAAAGTTGATGGAGAAAAATTTCCTGGTAAAATTGTGACTCCTTTTGAGAAGACAAAGCTTGCTGCATATACTCTAAGTGCCATTGCTCCTTGTATGAGGCTATACCACTTTGTAAGTAGGGAAATAAAGGCCATTCTTGACCCTCAAGAGAAAACCAACCCATACGAGAAGTGGATTGACAGTCTCTCCTCTGATAAGTTTGAGGTGTGTGGCTATTTTGACGGTCCACACTTTTAAAAATGTGTTCTGGGACTTCATTGACAGTTCTTATATATATATATATATACATCCAGGTAGCAGCTTTAACGATTGAAGATTTGCTAGATAAATTATGCATATCTTTGACCAGTGGGGAGCTTGAAATTGTGGAAAAGCTATATCACCAATCACTGAAGCTCATATTAGAATTCATATCGTCTCATCCATACGTCCACTCATCATCAATTGTACCCATTGTTTCTCAGCTGCAAGAACCTGCTGAATCCAATGTTAGAATGTTCTGCGATTTTGACATGACATGTTCTGCAATTGATTCATCTGCCCTATTGGCAGAGATGGCAATCTTTGCTGCAAGAAAGGCCTCTTTGAACGAATGTGACACTCAACCTTCTCAGCCTATAACACCCAATCTCGCTGCCACTTGGGGCAGTTTATCGAGCAAGTACATTGAAGAGTATGGGCAATGCATTGAAAGCATTCTGCCCACTGAAGCTGGTATACTATTTCAGTTGCATTCCGTTTTATATGACATGAGCTGTATGTAATTCCATGTATATTTTATATGATGCTCGCTAAGCTCTCTTCAATTTGCTGACAGTGGCAAATTTTGATTATGACCGCCTATGTAAAGCACTTCAAAACCTATCTGATTTTGAGAAAACAGCAAACTCGATGGTGATTGATTCTGGAGTACTGAAGGGTCTGAGTGAAAATGATATAAAACGGGCTGGTGAGCGCTTAATATTTCAAAGAGGCTGCAAAAACTTCTTCCAGGAAATAACAAGAAGTGAGAACCTTCTCATGGGTGTTCATGTGCTATCCTACTGCTGGTCCGGGGATCTCATCAGGTCCGCCTTCTCTTCAGGTATATGCTTATGCGAATCATCTTGTTTCAGAACTTCTTTTCTCTTAAGAAAATTCAGCAGATTCAGCCAAACAACACTTTCCAAAAGTGCGCCAATTTTTCCTTCTTTGACCAGGGAAACCAGATGTTGTGAGTGTGCATTCAAACGAGTTGGTATATGAAGAGTCCATTACCAGCGGCGAAATGATTCAGAAGATGGAGTCCCCCATGGACAAGCTTGAGGCCTTCAACGGCATCTTGGACAACCATGGAAACGAGAGCAAGCCACTGACAGTGTATATAGGAGGTTCAGTCAGTGACTTGCTTTGCCTTCTCAGTGCAGATATTGGGATTGTGATAGGTATGAGTGACATGCTAAGGACACTAGGTGAGGGGTTTGGAGTTACATTTGCCCCACTCTTCCCTGGTTTGGTCAAGAAACAAAGACAACTGTCTGAATGTGGTTGCTGTAACTGGAATAGGATGTCTGGGATTCTCTTTACAGTCTCGAGTTGGGCTGAGATACATGCTGCCCTTCTGGGGAAAAGGACAATTCCACCCTCACCCATATAAAGAGCATATATTACCCACCCGGGAGATAATTAGTTTACCTAAACAGCTAAACATATAGAAGGATATAGGTAGGTAAGTTATATTGTCCCTAACATTAACGGGTGGCTTATATTGGTAGCCATTCGACTCCCACTATGATATTGGACCTCTGTTCATATGCCTCAAGTCTCATTTGCATTTTCCGTTCGCCAGTTTTTGTTCAGAACAGTTTGATCAGGCATCCGACGTACAGGTTCCAAGTTTATGGGGTTGATTTTCCTTTTCTTTCTCAGTTTCTTGGTAATAATGTTGGAATATGAGATGTTTTAATTGTCTCATAACCTCATTTCATTGTGTAATAACTAAATCATGAAAGAAATGGTTTGTGTACATAATTTTCCCTCTGTATGTTCTTGAATTATAATGAAGTAGCAGTTAGTCAAGCAATGCAACTTTCGACGTTGAGCTGGGGGTCTCTTTGGAAACAGCCTCTCTACTTTCGAGTAGGGGCAAGGTCTGCGTACACACACCCTCCCCAGACCCTACTCTTGTGGGATTTAACTGGGTTGTTGTTGTTGTTGTATGTTCTTGAATTATAAAGATAATACGAACATTACGAATTATGTTTTTACTTTACAACACGAAGTCTTTTGTTCGACAAAAAGAAGCTGAAATTTTGCCAGTCTCATCCCTGCAGGCCGTGCCCCATGTATGTTTCCATATGATGTATCGTTGCAATTGCTACACCGTAATCATAAATGGACGTCTGATACCTCCATGACATCTCCATGCGCGTTGGTCGTTGTAAACCTACCTTCTCCATCTTCTCTTCCAAGCCTTCGTGGCTCAAAAATTTCACAAGCATGTCACACTCCATCATGCGTAACAAAATATCAATATTGAAGATCCCAACAAGTCAAACAAAAACATCATTGATTACTTAGAGCTTGTTGTCTTCAACTTATTCTTACTAGTATCTTGACTCGTGTCATGCACGGGGTCGAATGTATTTTTTGTCGATTCTGAAAGCTTTTCAACGTAATATATTTTCTAGATTCAAGTAAATATATTTCTAACACAATTTTTAATTAATGAACAACAACGACAAAGTTGAATAAATTATATTTGAGGAATTGAAAGTGTACCCAATTTTTTTTAATTCCAAATTTTTTGAAAGATTTCAGGGTATGCAACATTTCTGATATGATTGTAAGGGGTTCTATTGTCATCTAGACTCAATATATTTAATCATGTCTTTGCCTTTACTCGTGAAGAAGTAACATAAAGCTAACCATGAGTAAATACCAAATCGGTGAAAAATAATATAGCAAAAGACAATGTTTGACTTTGAATTTTGTTAGTAGTCATAACAAAACATAAGACTATTGAGAAATTTTTTCTCTAGAATTTTAGATGTATTCCTTAATTGGATGGTACCAAATTCTTTCAGGGTATGTAAACTTTTTTCTAGTTTCGATTTCTTGAAAACCTCAATTACACTGATAATGTTCTTTCATAGTTATTCAATGATTAATCTTCTATCATTACAGAATCCAGATGTTTGGTCAATGTTCTTCAATGTACCCCTTTTTAAAAACTATTTTGTGGTTTGGGATTCCGAACATTTGATTTCATTAAAAAAAACTCAACTGTTATACAATCATCTTCAACAACTACATCTTAATCTATTTGGCATGAAGAATCATAATTTAAGTACTCTTTTTCATCTTCTAGTACTCTTTTTCATCTTCTAGAATAAGAGATAGGACAAATTTATTTACCATTCAACAGACTCGAATAAGTGAAGTCTATTATACTCTTGAGGGGATAACTTGTTTCAAGAATTAAGAATTCGGGCGGGATTTCAACGTTAGTAATTCCACCGATCACTTACCCAAATTTTCCATCTTCGACTTTGATTATCCAATCCGAAAAAACTTGTGTGTCCCTATTTGTGCAAGAGGGTGTAGTTAAATGCAATCTCACATTCCTGGTCAACATATAAACTTTACAATACAATTTAACCACATTTGTGAAGAATTGGTGGTAGCACCTACAATTTCATATATCAAAGCTATGAGTAAAACTGGAAGAATTTAGATAAAATCACCTCTGACTATAACTATTTTCCCTCTAAATGGTTCATTTATGAAATTATTATAGAACCTCATTACATCTCTTGTTATGAAATTCAATGCCTCAAAAATAAATTTATTCATCATTGACGATTAATCTCATATGATTAAACTTGTTGGATTATGTCTACTTTTGGACCCCCTTGTTTGATGGCACGTGATGAGCACTCGGTTACCGACATAGGGATTAAAAATCTCGAGTGTGTTGTCATTCCCCTAAGAAAAAGCAATGCTACAATGTAGTTGGATGCAACATTCAAGACAACCTTACCATTTGACCGTAGAGAAGCAGGCAATAATTTCTAGATTTTCCAATTCCACTGTAACCATGCACAAAAAAAATTTCTCTTTCAATTGTCACGACTTCCATTATTTCATTAGATATACTTCACAGATCTTCATTCATCGTACATAAATATCCTTTAAAATCAAACGAATACTTTTCTTTGTCGCCCTCTACCAAGAAATTATTTGGATATCTATTAAGTGGGTTGTCATCTCAAAATGGCATGCGACTGAATTCATCTAAACACCATCCAGTTCAATTGAGAAAATTTTTAATCTCAATTTGACATAAATTATTTAGGTCTTCTTGTGAGATTATAAGTTCTACAAAAAAAGAAGTAGAAAATTTTGCTTCTATGCAGTGTTCAATTAAATTTTTTTATTTTCATATAATGCATTTCATATGGATTAATACGTTACAAAACTATCTTTATATTGAAATACATTGATTCCGCAATATTCTCCGTTGATCAAATAAAATTCTATCCACCAGGAGTTCCTATAATTTTTCCGAAACAATTTGTGGGTGACTCATGGTACTTGTCACTAATAATGTGACGAACAACTTTCTTAACAGAGTCTCAAATCCTAACTTAGCAACCACTTTTATATCTTTAATAAATTCTTTATCATCGGTCAATAACCCCAATACTTCACATGCTACCTCGAATGCGTTTTGTAAAACATTGTTAACTATTCTAGAGCTCTTATAACTTGTACATCCTCATCGAAAAGTAAATAGTATTCTCAAGTAGTATAACTCCCAAGTTTCTGTAGGCACATATTGTTGCCTGCCAATTGATAGTCTTTGTTGCCTTGAAATCATTTCCACACTTTTTGGTTGTACACGAAATATTCTTGAAACTCTTTGCATACGCCAAATTTTATGTCGCATTATACTGTGTATTGGAAATCATCCCAGCCTCAAACATCTTTTAGCTTTTGTTAGTCTCTAAAGGTTACAAATTTCAGCCTTGGGAGATGGAACTACAACTTCAATAGTGATATGATGGACACCTGTGGTGTATATCAAAAGAGAGGATTCTCTAAGAGACTTCACATGTTTATGCGTAATGACAATCATAGTACTTCTCTGTTTCATCATACATGATATTATCAACAATGTCAAAGTTATATTGGGTAACTGCAACATCTACTGTATCTAGTCTTTTATTTAAATATTTAAAGAGATATTTGATTGTATTACATTTATTCCAATATTAAATGTTGATTGATCTTGATACCTCATCAAGAGTTGTGGGTTGTATGGCATAACAAACCGATTATCCAAGTCGATATTGTTTCTCAATGTGGTGATCCCCATGTTTCTTATTTTGTATATCGGGTAGTCATTCTCATCAAATGATGTCTTATCAACAAAATTTTAGGAATATATTTCATGTGTTTATCATTGTCCATATTTAGAGATCTTGGATCAACTATGCCACATGGATCATGCATCGTCAATCAAGTTACAGACTCATACAATCTATGATATTTGTCTTCATTAGGAATCTCTACACATATCACACAATCAATTGACTCGAGCGACTGAAGTTTATCTCTCTTGTGTAACCATATTAAGATATGTGCATGAGGCAAACTTCTCTTTTGAAAGTCAACAGTGTTCAAACATGCATAAAATTATCACATTCAAATGACAATATTTTAAATTGAATGTCCAAATTACCACAACTTTATTATTTAAATGAAACTAATATAGCAAACTTTAAAATTACCTCTAATCACTACGTCAAAAACATATGATGACAACTGTTTCTTTTAGTAGTCTCTCTGTGCTGATTTCAGTAGTGTTCCGAGCAGCTGTTTGATATATTTACAGACTATTGTTTAAAAACAGTTGTGTAAAATGGTTGACGACACCTATTTTGTAATGTTTTAGAGTACCACTTTTTAGTGTTGTCCCCGTATGAGTAAGACATCTGTTTTTTAGAGTTAAAAAGAACTGTGATTTTTTGTTGTCTATCTATAATGAATACTACTGTTGTTTTTAACTTCAGACTCCTAATTCTTGGTGTTTTCGTTCAACAATATAGACATTTACTTTAAAAATTAATTGAAAGATATATCAGACTGCTGCTTGGAAGACTACTAAATAAAAATAACATCAGACAGCTGTTATCTTTTGTTGTGTTTCTAGAATATGGACTACTAATTTTGTTGTATTTTAAACAACCGTTTCTTTCAGTTATATAGTGTTCAATAACACTGTGTTTTTTGTAGTTGTACTTAAAATATTCAAACTATCTTTTTACACACTAGTCAGATTATAAATCGGACTACTGCGCCGAAGACAACTAAGTATGTTTGCATAAAACAACTGCTATTATGTGTTCTATTTGTAAAATGTAAACAACCTTATTTGTTGTATTTCATACAAGTATTTGTTTAAATTGTCTAACGTTTCTTAACAATACAGGTTTGTGTAGTCATCCTTTAAAGATTTTAGAAAACTGTTTAAATACATCGTAAAGATTTTTGAAAGACTACTATATTTCAATTTACAATTATATTTAATAATTAAAATTTATTTCAATTCTAAAATATTGATCATGAAACAAAAATAAATTCCAAAATGTACAATATATTGAATAATATCTAAATACATACAATCCAAAATCTTAATAGCATCCAATAATTTAATATTTACATAATTAAAATCACATTCTAATTTTCCATTGACCATGCCTAATTTAATTATTTGTCCCCTCAATAACATCCATCATTGAATCAGGGGAATCCAGACCTTCAATTCTTGACATCGTTGTGACCATGATAATCTGCAAGCGAAGCTTGTTCTTGTTAGTCTGTTAATAATGTTCCATGAGTATTATATTGTCAAGCACATATAAATAATACATACCTATATTAAAAGGGTGCATTTAATAAAATGTTCGAGATACCTAAAATGAGTCATTCTGTGTATCATAAATATAGAATTGACTAAAGAAATATTTGCACTAAATAACACTAAAACTTAAGTCATTTCTCTAAATAGCACTTAAATTTTTTATTCACTAAATAGCACTTAATAATGTCCATAATGACTAGTGATGGTGAACATTTACTTAGAAAAATGACTAAAAGTGATACATTGGAAAAAAAACACATTTAGTTCTATTTAGAGAAAGTCATTATGTTTTAGTGCTATTTGTGTAAATTCCACTTGACTAAATCGTGGTCTTTCACAATCTTTTGAAATTAAAGATGGTATGTGAAAATGATTGTGCCCGCTAAGTGTAAATTGTTGCTTGATCGTTGTTGTGAGATGCATCAATATTTCCATCCATATACGTGAATGAAAATATATTGTTGTATTTTCTTTAATTTTTCATGGTAATTAGAACTTCTCACACCAAGTCCATAAAAAACTTATAGAGCAAATCTAAGGGTTTCTTTAGAAGAGACAGTTAAATTTTTCTTTTAATTTAACAACCTGAAAACTCTATATGTTCTGAATCTTTATTTGTTTGGTTCTTTCTTCATATAGCTGCAATAAAGCTTCCCAAAATTCACAAATAAATGTGGGATCCCCAAAATGGATGATATCTAAAGGAAAAATAAAATATGATAGATCTAATCTTATATATATATATATATATATATATATATATATATATATATATATATATAGCATTCCACACAACTAACATGTTGAATATATGATCTAAATGTACTTTTAATTTTTTTTCTCTAAATGCAAAATTATCTAAACATGATTCCACTGATATATCTTAAACATGTGAACCTTCTACCTAGATATCTAAATTTAAAGAGTGTTTCTTTGGTGAACCTTGGGTACATACTATTTTTGTGGACCTTCTCACATAAAAAACTTTTTTTATTTATTTAATTAAAAAAAGAGATGCTTATTTAAGTAAGAAGGAATTACTTAGTTTTCTCATATGTAAGTCCATGGTGGACCTTAGATTCACCATAGAATTTACCAAATTTAAAATATATCAAGTGTGTCCACCATATTAATTTATGTGATATTTGCTTACCTTGAAGCACTGTATAGATACTTTTTCAGGGAAAAATTACTGAAAAATTAAATATTTAATTCAAAATAATAAAAATACCATTTGTCACATCACAGAGTAAATTCTTTCACGAACGTGTTCGATCATGCGAGGTTATAGCCGATGACGATCCCTCTCTTTCTGTATATGTAATAACCATCATAAAATAGATACTGTAAATATTTTTATCTAAAAACTTTAAACATGAAAAGTTTCTATTATCCAGTAATATTTGTCACCTTGTGGTCGATGGTCGGATGAATAAATAAGCAAAAATATTATTTATTTATATTGTTTTGACATAGATGTAAAAATAAACATTTTTTCTATTTTCAAGAACTTTATTTAATAGTAATTACACTTATAATAATTGATATTATACCATAAATATTTTGATTAGGAACACCAACTAATAATTAATTTCTTACACAAAAAGTCGTCATCATTTTGCAAAGTTATTAATGGAAAATAGTAATTTTGTAACATGAATTTATAAATATTTACAAAGCTAGTAATGGAAAATAACGATTTAAAAATGGAAAATACTAATTTTAAGATATAACATACTTGTTATTTGACCTAGAATTCTTTTAATATATACGGAATAAAATTAATGCTCTATTAAATAAACGTGCCAATGAAAATCCATTTCCTTTTATATACTTATTTCTCTTTTTTAAACAATGAGAAAATCTCTTCAATTAGTATTAATTTAAAGTAATAACAAATATTCACATGTAATTTCCTTTTTAGTCTTACCAATCTATCCGTTTTTAGAATAAATTTATTTGTTTTGATTATTGTTTTTGAATATGACTTCTTCTTTTTCAATTTCAAAATATATAATTTAACTTAAATATTTTTTCTGACAATGAATTAAAATATAAAAGTTTTGAAACACAATTATGCTGAGGAATTTGTGTGTTACCAATACAAAACTTAATTTTCATAGAATATATTATTTTGTTAACTAATTATTTAAATATTCCTTAATGGCATGGAGTGCTGACATGTCAAAATTGCCTAGTAAGCGTGTCACGTGTCACAATTGCCATATTACCAAACTCATCAAAGGTGGCGGATGATTTGTAAAAAAAAATTGCCAAGTAGACCTGCCACGTGTCGCAATTCCGGAAGCCTAACTCTCAAATTTTATATATAAAGATAAAGATTACATATTCTTATTGAAACCAGATTAGATTAGAAACAACTTTAAATGTAACTACAATCAAATCCAAACATATTTCAATTGGATCAGAATCATTCAGAATAGATGAAGAGAACTGTTAGGCCCTTAATATTTAGCATTTGTGTTGGCATTATTTTTGACAACACACAATTACTAGTTTAGTGTAGAAGTGTCCTCATAATAGAAGAATTGTGTTGTTAGCATTATTGGTCATTCTATCTGGACAAGGACGCTAGGACGCTACGCTGGAAGACATCTGCTCAAGCTAAACAAGGACTCCTCCCTGGATTAAACGAAGTAGTATGCGCAAGAGTTCTAGGGACAAGAGGTTAGGGTTTCATCCCATGCTAATCCAGAAGTATAAATACGAGATTGCAGCTTGGCAGAGTAGTGCGAGAATTTACACATTCGGCTAAAAGAGAGTACTGACAGATAATTGATATATCAACGAGAAGAGCATATCATAGATATTCACGTGAGGCTATAGTGAGAAGATCAGCCATGGATCTTCTCTGAAGATTTGTTCAGCTTGGGCATCGTGTGGAGCTGAGCAAAGGTTAAGAACACATCCTTATTGCAGAGCAACGAGAAGGTGTTTATCCGGATCAAACTGTGTTTGTCTCAAACCACAGACTAGTGCATTCATCTGTTGAGACAAGTTATCTTCCCAGACAACTCAAACTAACACATTAAGAATACTACTAGATCACCTTTCCGATAATGTGCCTACACCGCCTCGCAGACGTAGGAGAGTTGGCTCCGAACTGCGTAAACAAATTTCTGTGTCTTTGCCTACTTTCGTTTTGTTTTGTTAGGTGTTAGAAAAGGTGTTGTAGCATTCTGTGAAACTTAGTTGTTGCGCTACAGCACAATTTCTAACCACCTTCTGCTGTGATAAGTGTGTGTATCTTTGGTTTATATACTGTGCTGTGGGTGTGGAAATTTCATTTGGTATCGGAGCCTGCATAGCTTAATTTACTAGCTATCGATCATATCATGGGAGACATGGAAGAAGGAGCGAATGTTCAGAGACCACCTTTACTGCGTGGACATAACTACAATTTCTGGAAGGGCAGGATGAGGGCCTTTCTCAAATCCCTTGGGGGTGGAGTCTGGAGAAGTGTAGAAACTGGGTGGACTGAACCGCGCAAATACTCTGATGATCTGACAACGTCAAGAATCAAACCATTCGAAGAATATAGCAGAACTGAAGTAACCGCTGCTCAGTTTAATGACAAAGCCTTAAATGCAATCTTTGGGGCAGTGGACTCTACCCAATACAAGCTCATCTCAAACTGTGACAATGCCAAGGAAGCCTGGGATATTCTTGAAGTCACGCATGAGGGAGATGAGGAAGTGAAGACTGCAAAATATCAGATTTTGATGACTCAATATGAAAATCTATGCATGGACGAGAAGGAAAAGATCACTAAATTTCATGGAAGAGTTAGAGATATTGCAAACCAGGCTGCACGACTGAATGAACCCATTCCAGAAAACAAGCTGGTTCTCAAGGTGCTGAGATCACTTCCAAAAGAATATGAGATGGATGTCAAGGCCATTCGACGTTCCCACAACATCAAAAACATGACTCTTGATGCACT